GCCAGAGAGCAGCATTATCAGGAAACGCTCTGCTTGATCTTTGATGTTTTGCACCATGTTGTGTGCCGTCTCCCATCAGAATGTATCAGGAACCTCTTCAGATCTGCTTTCCACTCTGAGGAAGTACGCTTTCAAAAGTAGTTGTCACTAAGAGTTTATTCTGTCTTGGACTATTTATTTTAGTCCTGGGAAATGGTAATAGCTTTTATTTTCTTTCCAATGAAAGTGACTACAACTGGGTGAAAGTAATACCTAGGAAATTATAAAACAAAACTCTCAGAAATTTATGTAGTGATAGTTGCTGTGTTTGCTTCAAAGGGTTTTTGTGGGGTTTTTTGTTTTTTTTTCAAGACTGGCTTGCCTGGAACCCACTCTGAATGTAGGCCTGGCTGGCCTTGAATTTACAGAGATCTGCCAGCCTCTGCCTCCCAAGTGCTGGGATTAAAGGCGTGTGCTATCACCATTGCTTGGCTTCAAGGGTTTTTTTGTTTGTGTGTTTGTTTTGCATCAAAGTCTCTCTTAATATATCCCAGGAAGTTCTTGAACTTTTTATCCTCCTGCTTCAGCCTTCTGAGTACTGGAATTATGCCAGTAAACCTGGTATTCTAGTTTCTTCAAGTGTGCGTGTGTGCGCGCGCATATGCATTCTTGGGGTATATAGTTCAGAGGACAACGTATGGGAATTGGTTTTTTTTCCTTCCACTCTGTCCGCCCCAGGGATCAAGCCCAGGTCTTTAGGCTTAGCACTGAACCAGCTTGCTAGCATTTTCATAGTGAAATGTGAGTCTTTTTCTGTTTCTCCTGTCCTCTCTGACCCCCTTTTTTTTTTTCACCTTTTCTTTCTCTCTTGGCCTTCAACTTCACTGGTAGCCAGAAGTGACCTTGAGGTTCCTCTCTGTTCACCTCCCAAATGTTATAGGAGTGGATTACTATATCATACCCAGCTCAATAGCAAACATATCTGAAGATGTATGGGAAAATTTGGCAATTTTGTGGTTGTGTATGTTTTTAGAGAAAAAGTCCTAAGCTTCCTTAAGTTCTCCAGAGGTCCCTCCATCCCTCGGTGTTCTTCTTCTTTTTTTTTTTTAATTTATAATGTCTGAACAATAGAGGAGGGCACCAGATCTCATTATAGATGGTTGTGAGCCACTACGTTGGTGCTGGGAATTGGACTTAGTATTTTGTAGGAGAGCATCCGGTGCTCTTAACCTTTGAGCCATCTTGCCAGCCCCCCCTGGGTGTTCTTTCCTTCCTTCCTTCCTTCCTTCCTTCCTTCCTTCCTTCCTTTTGTCTTTTCGAGACAGGGTTTCACTGTATTGTTTTGGAGCCTGTCCTGAACTCTGTAGACCAGGCTGGCCTTGAACTCACAGAGATCCGCCTGCCTCTGCCTCCCAAGTGCTGGGATTAAAGGTGTGCGCCAACAATGCCTGGGCAGTCTTTCCTTTTAAAATTAGATTTGTTTGCCGGGTGTTGGTGGCGCACGCCTTTAATCCCAGCACTTGGGAGGCAGAGGCAGGTGGATCTCTGTGAGTTCGAGACCAGCCAGGTCTACAAGAGCTAGTTCCAAGACAGCCTCCAAAGCCACAGAGAAACCCTGTCTCGAAAAAAAAAAATTAGATTTGTTCTATGTGGGCATACTTGCTATGTGCATGAAGGTCAGAGGACAACCTGTGGTGGGTTCTTTTGGGATCAAGCTCAGGGTATCAGGCTTAGCAGCAGGCGTCTTCAGCCACTAAGCCATCTTGCCTACTTCTCAGCTTTTTATTTCAATTTTCTTTATTGTTTTCTTGGGTTGTCCTCAACTCAATCTAGCCCAGACAGGCCTTGAACTTTTGATCTTCCTACTTCAGCCTCCCAAGTAGCTATGAGCCCAACAGACTTGTAAAAGTTGTCTTAATTGTAGAAACATTTAGCTACATTTTATTGTATTTCCTCATTTGACTACCTCCCTCCCCCCACATACAGGGTTTCTCCTTGTAACTCTAGTTGTCCTGGAACTCACTCTAGACCAGAATAGTCTCAATCAAACTCAAGAGATCAGCTTGCTTCTGCCTCCCAAACACTGGGATTGTTTATGTGCATTGGTGTTTTGCCTGCATGTATGTCTTTATGAGAGTGTTAGGTGCCCTGGAACTGGAGTTACAGACAGTTGTGAGCTGCCATGTGGGTGCTAGGAATTGAACCCAGGTCCTCTGGAAGAGCAGCCAGTGCTTTTAGCTGCTGAGCCATCTCTACTGTAGAAACCCTTGGCCATTCCTTTCTTGAGACTTTCCTGGCTCTTGATGAGAGCAACTTTCTGCTATTTTTCCTGCTTTCCTGGCATTCTTGAAGGGATCAGTCTTGCCTGGGTTCACTTTTTCAGTTTTAGGGTTGCTACCAAATACTTCCTTCATGCTGCCCCCTCACTGTCCCTGCTGCAATGGTACAACTTTAGCACTTATATGATGTTGATTCCCAATGCGTATCTTTCCTTTGGTTTGCCCTCTAGGTCCTGCAAATTGTTCCCTGCAACTCATAGTTTGCTCTACCTCCTAGGCTTCCTTGCTGTCTGTTGCTCAAGCCAGACAGAAATTCATCCTTTTTGCACCCCTATATTCTACCCTTAACCAGGGTCCTGAATTATCCCCTGCTGTCATCATGTGTTGCTTCTGTTGGTACCCTCATAATTTTTTAGCAGAGCTTTGTATTTTGTTTGCTCACTGTCCATAAAATCTCCATTCCCCATACTATTGTCAGAACATGGTCCTACTGCCCCTGTGGGTGGCGTCCTTACACACACACAGGGTGTGTTTCTTTAACATGGCCCAGGGCTTGCAGTTTAGGTTCCTTCTACGGCGCAGCTCTTTTCCAGAAGTTTTGCTGAGCTGTTTGTAGTTCTTCAATGTGTCATGTACTTTCACATCTCTATCTTATTCTTCTTTCTGCCGTGATTGTCCACTCCCTAACCCCACCCTTTCCACGATCCTTCTCCCTCTATTGCCCATGCAGTCACATCTGCTGTGGTCTGTCTGGGTTGGCCTTTCCAACCTGCTTTTCCAGGAAGTTGAGGCATTTCTTCTGGGTTTGCATACCAGAGTTCGGGCTAGGTCCAGGTTACCTAGCTCATTGCTTAGTTTTCTCTTCATCAGCATTGTGACATTGGGCAGTTTGATTATTTGAAGTGGACATACTAATTTCTACCTCATAAGCTATTGATACAAATATATTAAAAAGTGACTAGCACTTCAGAGTTAGCTTGTGCTAAATGTTACATTTATGTGGTTTCTGTATCTCTCTTTCTAGACTAATGTCTTTATGAGTAGGCTACACAGCTTACTCATCTCAGTAGTCTCAGAATTTAGCAGTGAATGTGGTTCATAATTTACAGCCAGAAAACACTTGGGTGGGTGGATGAGTGGGTGAATATGTGAATGAGGGGGTTAATGAATGAATCCCAGTGCACATGGCAGTCTTGCTGCTAGTGATGCTGAGTATCTTGTCCTTGTTTGTTGGCCACTTGTGTGTTTTATATTTTGTACAAGATAGCTATTTGTCCATTAAAAAAAGGTTTATGTGTGTTTTGCCTGCATGTGCGTCTGTTCACCATGTGCATGTAGTACCCATAGAGGCCAGAAGAGGGCATCAGATCCCCTGGAACTAGAGTTACAGGTGGTTGTTGTCACTTGTGGGTACAGGAAATTGAACCCAAGTCCCGAAAGAGCAGCCAGTGCTTTTAATCACCGAGTCATCTTTCCAACTCTCCTTTTGCCCAATTTTAAGTTGACATTTTTGTCTTTTTATCATTGAGTTGTTAAGAATTCTTCTGAATCCTATCCCTTACTGCTTAGATGATATGCAAATATTTTCTAGTAGTTAAAATTTTTTTGAAACATCAAAGCTTTAATTTTTATTAAGCCTAATTTTATATTTTCCCTTCAATATTTTTGCTTTGGTTGTCATATCCAAGAAACCATTTCTTACACCTGTGCATTCTTTTTCTCCATGCTTAAGATTCTGATCCATTTTGGGGTTTTCTTTTGTATGTAGAGTGAGGTAGGGTCCTGTCTTCATTCATTTGATTTGTTTTGTTTTTGTTTTTCAAGACAGGGTTTCTCTGTGCAACAGTCCTGGCTGTCCTGGAACTCACTCTGTAGACCAGGCTGGCCTCAAACTCACTGAGATCTGCCTGCCTTTGCTTCTGCTTCCCAAGTGCTGGGACTAAATAAAGGTGTGCGCCACCACTGCTTGGTTTCTGTCTTCATTCTTGTGCATGTGGATTTCCACATTTCTCAGCACCATTTATTGAAGAAAAAAATCTTTCCCTGACCTTTTTTTTTTTTTTTTTTTTTTTTTTTTTTTTTTTTTTTTTTTTTTTTTTTTTTTTTTTTTTTTTTTTTGGTGCCGTCGTTGAAACCATTTGATAAAAAGAAAATGAATTTATTTCTAGACTCTCACTCAGTTCTTTCCCATAATCTGTGTGTTCTTGTACTAGCACCAGACCTTATTGTTGACTGCCTTTTGTAGTAAGTTTTGAAACCACAAAGTCTAAGGCAGTGGTGGTGGCGGCCATGGCGCACATGCCTTTAATCCCAGCACTCGGGAGGCAGAGGCAGCAGGCAAAGCTTTACTTGTGGAGACCAGAAGTCTTGATCAAGCTTGCTCCAAAGGTTCAAGTTGAGGATCCTTCCTTGATTCAGGCTTCTGGTGTTGATCTGTAGTCCTTGGTATTTCATGGTTTATAGAAGGGTGCCAGTCAGATGACACTTTCCTTTTGTCTTCATTTGTGTTCCCACTGTACACGGCTGCCTGTATCCAAGTTTTCTCCTTTCAAAAGGTTACCTGTCACACAATTTGAGCTAACCTGACTTGCCCTCCTTTAGGCCTAGTTACCCCGAGTCCCATTTCAATATGGTCACCAACTTAAGAATCTCTTGCTTGGTACAGCTCAGATGAAACCCACTCCTAGGTGCTTGACTGTCCCCGAGCCTCCTGTCTCATTTGTTCCATCTGTTCTCCACCAGAACCGGGTGGTGGGTCGGCCTAAGGGCAAGTTGGGCCCGGCCTCAGCGGTGAAGTTGGCTGCCAACAGAACAACAGCAGGAGCTCGCAGGCGCCGGACGCGATGCCGCAAATGCGAGGCCTGCCTGCGGACGGAGTGCGGGGAGTGCCACTTTTGCAAGGACATGAAGAAGTTTGGAGGCCCCGGGCGCATGAAGCAGAGCTGCATCATGCGGCAGTGCATCGCTGTGAGTACACAGGCGTGGGCGGGGCTCTGGCCTCTCTGCTTCCAGTTTGCTGGTCTGCCCTGCTCTGCCCTCCTTATGGGATGAGGGGTTCAGGAGATGCTCTTTTCAGCTACCCTTGGTTGTACTGGGGTAGCCTTAGGCTCCTATTTGTCATCTGGTGGTCTGTATCTCTTCCCTGCCTGAAATGGCTGAGTTCTTTGAAGTTCCTCTTATTAAAGAGGTCAGGGCAGTTTGTCTTGACTGTGACCCTGTTGCCAACATTTATGGTCCAGTTCTTCCTTCCTGTCCTTTCTTCATAGTTAGAAGTTTGGGTGGAAGGAGTGATATATGGCATGAGGGACCTGGGCCCATGGAGAACTTGGCCGGCCCCTCAAGACACTTCACACTTCTTTGGCAACCTGACACAGTCCTGGGGTTCAATTTTAGTTCCCTCCTCCACATACTGTAAGACTTTACCTTCCCTGATGCATGGCTCCCTGGGGACCCAATGGTCTTCTTCCTGCCCCACTGAAAAGCTGGCTTAGCTGGAATAACCAGATTTCTCCACCCTGGTGAACTGGTCCATAAGTCCAGCATGATATTGGGTGAGTGAGCCTTTTCTCCCTGAATGCTCCAGCCCACCAACCCTCAAGCTTTGGTTGGCACCTTCCCTTTCTCCCTGTGTACATAACTGGCTTGCTATTTATCACTTGTGGTTTTAAAAAAAATACACACCATAAAATTTTCCAACTTAACTGTTTTTAAGCATATGGCACATGAGTGTTATTTTGTGTACGTCTGTGATGCTGATCTAGAGGGCATTTTCATCTTCCAAACCAAAACTCTAGCCATTTTCTCACTTCCTAGAAACCACATAGCATTTTCAGTTTCTGAGGGTTTAACCACTATGTATATGTGAAATGGACAGTCATTTTTTGAGTAGTTTATTTTACTTAGCATAATATGCTTAAAGATTCAGTTGTCCTGCGTGACAGAATTGTTTTAATTTAAAAATGTTGTATGTTTGTTTATTGTGCCATGGTCTCCTGCTGGCATCAAACTTATGACAGTCCTCTTGCATCAGCCTCCCACATGCTGTGATGATAGGTGTGTGCCACCACACCTGCCTCAGAAATTTGTTAATGTTGAGTAATATTAGATGTATAACATTACATTAGTTTTTGTACTTTGAGTATGGGTATTTGAGTTGTTTCTACCTCTTGCCTCTTGTGAATAATGCTGCAATGGACATCAGTACTGGACCCCCCCCCCTTTTTTTTTTGTTTTTTGTTTTTTGTTTTTTGTTTTCTGAGACAGGGTTTCTCTGTATTGTTTTGGAGGCTGTCCTGGAACTCACTCTGTAGACCAGGCTGGCCTTGAACTCACAGAGATCCACCTGCCTCTGCCTCCCAAGTGCTGGGATTAAAGGTGTACACCACCAACGCCTTGAACGCCTTTTTGAGATCTGGCCTCTGTGGGCAGAGGTGTAACTGTAGGATCATAATTTGGTTTTTAGTTTTTGAGTAATTTCCATAGTGGTGATACAGTTTTACATTGCATGAGAAGTACAGACGTTCCATTTCTCTACATCTTTGGCCACATTATTTTCCTGCCCTAATAAGTATTACCCTAATAATATTTGTAGAACACTTTCATGTTCATATTAGCCATTTTTATATCTTGTAAAAAATATTTTATTTATTATGTATACAGCATTCTGCCTCCATTTATGCCTGAAGGCCAGAAAAGGGCACCGCATCTCATTACAGATGGTTGTGAGCCACCATAAGGTTGTTGGGAATTGAACTCAGGACCTCTGGAAGAGCAGCCAGTGCTCTTAACCTCTGAGCCATCTCTCCAGCCCCCTTTTTATATCTTCTTTCAAGTCCTTTGCCCAAGTTTTTTGTTTGTTTGTTTGTTTGTTTGTTTTTGTTTTTTTTGTCTTTGGTTTTGATGAGTTGTACAAATTCTTTATATATTCTGCATATTATCCCTCAACATGAAGTGCAAGTTGTTTTTGTTGTTTGTTTTTTTTTAGATTTATTTACTTCTATATGTATGATTATTTTGCCACATGTATGCATTGTATGAATGTTTTGCCTGTGTAATGTCTGTGTACCACTGTAATGTGTAATGCCTGATGCCCCACAGAGGCCAGAAGGAGGTATCAGGTCCCCTGGAACTGGAGTTACAGGCAATTGTGAGTCACCAAATAAATGGATGCTGGGAATTGAACCTGCATCATGCCTTTAATTAATCTTAGCACTCAGGAGGCAGTCTGATCTCTGTGAGTTCAAGGCCAGTCTGGTCTACATAAAGTTTCAGGTCCGCCAGAGCGGTAGAGAGAAACCTGTCTTTTTTTTAGATTTCATTTATTTATATTATCTATACAGTCTTGTGCCTGCATGCCAGCAGAGGGCACCAGATCTCATTCAGGGTGGTTGTGTGCCACCATGTGGTTGCTGGGAATTGAACTCAGGACCTGTGGGAGAACAGTCAGTGTTCTTAACCACTGAGCCATCTCTGCAGCCCTGAAACCTGTCTTTTTTTTTTTTTTTTTTTTTTTTTTTTTTTTTAAAAAAGCCTTTGAAATATCAGGCAGAAGGTTGTGGGATGAGACATCCACCACCATGGTATTTGGGAAAACAAAGACAACTCACTGAAATCCAAGGCAAAGTTGTGTTCTGGCATTATCTGAGGCAGCAAAGAGTGTTTTGGAGAACAAAAAAAGGCAGAAAGGCCCTTGATGAGGTAAACAAGGTCAGAGAAACTGCACAGGAAACTGTCAACCTTCGAGTGGGGCAGGGCATTTAAACAAGGAGCTCAGCCAAGGCATCAATTGAAATGGGCAGGCTTGGTGGGAACAGCCCATAGAAGCAAGATAAAGGTCTGAGGTTGAAGGACTGAGGCTGAGGTGCCAGAGGTAAAGCTGCTCAGAGATATGGCATGAAGATGAGCTGGGGCAGCAAGGAGAATGTCTGTATGAGAAGCCACATGGAGACAGGGGGCCGAAGGAGGAAGACTGTACATCAAGACAAGGGCTGGAAAAGGCATGTGGGTCACAGGCAAGGAAAGGGAAAGGGCTAGAGGAAAGCCAAAAGTGTAAGGCCAGCCTGTTCTGAATGTAGCAGTTGCCAAATCAGTCTACATAATGCAATGTCGGTGGGGGTGGTGTTTAGCCAATTTAAGAAGCTATGTGCAGATGGAGATAGCAGGAGACATGGAGACACAAGAGTCTCCCCTTGCTAATAAGGCTGTGCAAAGAGGCACCTAGTCAGGCATCTACAGAAGTAAGATGGCACATCACTGGGCTGGAGAGATGGCTCAGAGATTATGAGCGCTGACTGCTCTTTCAGAAGCATGTGCGTTCAATTCCCAGCACGCACATGGTGGCTCACAACCATCTGTAATGAGATCAGTATCCTCATCTGGCTTGCATGGATGCAGATTTAAAGCTGTATATACGTTTCCTGTATCTTTCTACTTGTGGGTCACTTCCAGGTGTGGGCCAAGGTGTAGGTGACACTGCTTAAAACCAGCAGTTTCCACAGGGAGACTCTTTAAAATTGTGGGTTGCTTTTTGTTTGGTTTTGAGATAAGGTCTCTCTGTATAGCATTGGATGGCATCAAACTCATTGCAACCTCCTGCCTCTGTTTCTACCTCTGAGTGCTAGGAATAAAGGTATCTGTCACTATCCCCAGCCTCACAAAAATGTTTTTACTTATCTATGGAATGAATGTATCCCAACTTATGTTGAGATCCTTGTGAGGCAGTTTAATTAAAACTAAAGGTGCTTCCCCTGTGTACCAGGCACTAATTGGAATAAGAAGGCTGAATATCTGCCTTGGCCCCTGACCTCACTGTGTATCATCATGCATAGCAATTCTCAAATTATATAGTCTTAAGAAAAGATGAGGACCCCAGGAAACTGTTGTTTGTCTGTTATTTTTCTACTATGTTTGAAATTACAATTGAGAAATAAAAAGTTTTTTTTAAAGATTTATTTTATGCATGCAAGTGCTTTATCTGCATGTACACCTGCACACCAGAAGAGGGCACCAGATCTCATAAGGGATGGTTGTGAGCCACCATGTGGTTGCTGGGAATTGAACTCAGGACCTTTGGAAGAACAGCCAGTGCTCCTAACCTGAGCCATCTCTCCAGCCCCCGAGAAAGAAAAAGTTTTAGTTCATTTTAAAAGAATGTTCACAAATGACATGTTTTTATGAGAGCCAAAAGTAATATTTTTGGTTTTGGTTTTTTTCTGGAACAGGCTCTGTAGACCAAGATGGCCTCAAACTCACAGAGGTCCACCTGCCTCTGCCTCCCGAGTGCTGGGATTAAAGTCGTGCGCCACCAACGCCCGGCCCATGCCTGGTTTCATATCTGCTTCTATATATGCCACCTATTTTGGATGGAGGATGAGGAAAATTATGCCTCCCACAGGTAGTTGGGCAGGTGAGGAACATGATAATAACTTCTGCAGATAAGCCTGGGTCCTTTCAAGCTTTTAGAATCCCAAAGGTAGCATCTTCTTTTATTTTTTGTTTGTTTATTGATTTTTTGGTTTCTTTGTGTAGCTTTGGCTGTCCTGGAACTAGCTCTGTAGACCAGGCTGGTCTTGAACTCATAGCATTCCTCCTGCCTCTGCCTCCCCATAGCTGGGACTAAAGGCAGCTACCCTTTGGCAGCTTCTTAAAGTTAGTTGCAAAATGGAATCTGAAACTGTATAAATCAGCTTTTTTTACTGTTGCATTAAAAAGGTTGTCTTACCCTTGCTCCTGCAGTTATGTTGTAACATTGCACACTGGTGACTGAGGCTGAGTTTCCCAAAGATTGCAGCATACTCTTAAGCATAGACACATACATCCTATTTGATGTAGTATTACCATCTTTCTGATAGGGAAAACCTGTTCCTGGCCATGGAAAGACTACCAGGTGAAGGAAAACTTCATTTACTTTTAGAGTCTCGAATTTTGTCATTTATACCAATTGGCAGTTTGTTTTCTTTTTGCAAATGACAGGATCATATCTTAAGTCTTCAAGAAAATGCAACATCAGCTAGTGGTTTTTCTACACTTCAAATAAAAATTATGTTCTAAGACAGACATGGTAGCTCACACCAGTATTCCCAGTAATGGGGTGGCTGAAGCAGGCAGGCCATGAGTTTCCAGTTAGCTTGGGCAACAGTGTGAAACCCTGACTCTGGATAGATTGATAGGAGGAGGGGTGGGGAGAAGGAGGAAAATAAAATAAAGAGGAGGAGGAGGAGGAAAATAAAATAAAGATGTAATGTGGAGAACCTGGTGGTCAGTTGAGTTCACAAGTTAGTCACATGTCCTTTTCTTTTAATAACGGTCCCTCAGCATGGGGAAGTATTTTGTGCATACTTCCTGTGTGAAAAGGATGTGTTCAAGGGTTGAGGTTTTCATGAAGTTAATGATCAAAAACTGGTGATCTTTTTAGTGTTCATGTGGTCCTGAGACTGGTTGCCTGGATGGCAGGACCTGGCCTCTAGTTCAGAGTACCACAACTGTTTAACCCACCCATGCTTTCGCACAGTTATTGCAGAAGACAAATTATGCCTTGCTGTTGTTTAAAATGGGTGTGATCCCTCTTTTGAGATCTTGGGAACAGGCTGTGGATTGTGTCTTGACACCACTTATTCCTGGTCTTTTCCACGTGGGGAGCCTTGCCTGACATCTACACTTAAATTTGTCTATATAAACAGAATATGTTCTTCATGTTGTCTGCCTCCTTCCACCAAAAGGTAAGCTCAGAGTGTGAGAGATTTGATCTGTCTTGTTCATTACTATATTCTTAGTTCTTGTAGAATACCTGTCACATGGAGGTGAATAAATTTGCTTGGAGCAGCTCTCTGATTCCTGACAGGCCCAGGAGAACTTTGGCTTAGTCTCCAGAGGGGTCTGTCTTCACTCTCTGCTGACTTGCATGTTTCTTGGTTCCTCAGCCAGTGCTGCCCCACACCGCCGTGTGCCTTGTGTGTGGCGAGGCAGGGAAGGAGGACACAGTGGAAGAGGAGGAAGGCAAATTTAACCTCATGCTCATGGAATGCTCCATCTGCAACGAGATCATCCACCCTGGATGCCTTAAGGTAGTAGTATCCCTTGGGGCCCTGAACACCCCTCTTCCCCATGCTTCTGGACCTGACAGTTATGATGAGACTTGCTCAGGTGGTGATGATACACAGGTGGCATGCTAATCCTAGTGGACCCTCAGTTTTAGGGCATTCTGTGTCAGATGATAAGCCCAGTGCAGGAAGAGTTTGGGGTAGTGCCTACAGCAGGGTCCAAAGCATCTCAGTAGACAGAAAACAAGGATCCTGACTCCTGGCTTCTGGGAGAAAAGGGCTGAGCCAGAAAGGGCGGGGCTTGAATTGTAGGTGGTTTCTCTCTGTGCCTCTGCACCAGGAACCGGTTCCTGTGATATGCTAGGACAGGACTGCCTTCTGGGTGACCTCTGTGCCTGCCTGGCACAGGTGGCTGGTTCCACTTTGGAAAGGAAGAAACCATTCTCTGCTGGCACATGTCTCTATCCCAGAATACATTCTTATCTGTGGGCTGCAAGGGGTGAGGGCCTTTGTTTTGGTCCTTATTCCCTCATCATACCCACCCGATGGGGGTACTGTGCCATCCATAGCTTTGGAAGCCAGCCTCTCCTGGTAGGTATTGCTTCACTATGTCTCCTGTGCTCAGCTAAGGTAAATAGTACAACCACGTGGTGGATCCTTTCTTTTGGCTAGACACAGATGGAAACTGGTTGGGGGAGGGGTGTGAATGCTAAAGCAGACTGGGCCTTGAATAGACCTCATATCTTTGTGGATCCTCTGGGCAACCTTCCCTGTCCACTGAGACCTGTCCTATTCTTTTAGATTAAGGAATCAGAGGGTGTGGTCAACGATGAGCTTCCCAACTGCTGGGAGTGTCCGAAGTGTAACCATGCTGGCAAGACCGGGAAAGTGAGTGCGGACTCCAAGTCCCTGGTTGGGTCGGGTTGGCAGAAAGTGACGGGCTGGGCCTTGCCAGGACCAGCCTGTCCCCAGTTGTCGGTCAGGTGGGGTGCAGCGGGCTGGGAGAGGAAGAGCAAGTTCAAAGATATACAGTTGGATTGTTCTTCTCTCTTTTTGGCCTACAAGCAAAAGCGTGGCCCTGGCTTTAAGTATGCCTCCAACCTGCCCGGCTCCTTGCTCAAGGAGCAGAAGATGAACCGGGACAACAAGGAAGGGCAGGAGCCTGCCAAGCGGAGGAGTGAGTGTGAAGAGGCTCCTCGACGCAGGTCAGACGAGCACCCCAAGAAGGTGCCTGCAGATGGCATCCTACGCCGAAAGTCTGATGATGTGCACCTGAGGAGGAAGCGGAAATACGAGAAGCCCCAAGAGCTGAGTGGACGCAAGCGAGTACGAACTGGGAGGCCCTGGGCAGCAGAAGGGTGGTGTGGATGGTCTTAGGTGTGGGGTGGATGGTGGGGACCAGGAAGGTTAATGGGTAGAACTTGGGATCCTGGCTTCTGAAGAGCTGCCCTGAGCAGGTCACCCAAATCCTGAGAGCCTGGCCCAAAAGAAAGAGAAAAGCCAGCGAAGTCACTCCTCTTCCCACCCCCTTTAGGCCTCGACGCTTCAAACGTCCCCCGGTTCCTCCTCTCACCTCTCGCCGAGGCCCGCTCTAGGCAGCAGTCTCAGCCCTTGGTGGAGATCCAGTCTCACTTACTTCCAGCAGCAGGTGCTCCCACGCCCCACCCTCCCAAGGCCCTGGGGACTTGAGTCCAGGCTGTCCTCCTCTCCACCCCCAGAACCTCTGCTCCATTGCTACAGATGCTCCTGTGGCCTGGCCCCAAATCAGGCAGTGGGCCTGAGAGGTTGAGAAGCCTCTCTGTTGGTTGGGGAAGCTGCCACTGGGTAGATCCTGGTCGCCCTGCTCTGCTAATGGGCCTTGCTGCTAATGGGCCTTGCTGTTAGTAGCCACAAGGTGGCGCCTGGAGAAGCTCCTGGTAGGGCTTGGATAGGGAATGATGCCTTCTGCCTGGTCTCCATCTCTGGGGTCCCTTAGTCATGGCTGCTGTTAATGGGCACCTGCCATCTCTGGTCTGACTTGGGTGGGGAGGTCAGCTGGATGTGGATAATTGACCATCTTCCGTTATTTCTACCATTCTCTGGGAAATCACCAGGCAGAACTATGCTGTCAGTCATGTGAAGGGCATGGCTTTGTGGGGAAAATGTCCTAACCCTTACTGAAGAGACTGGGCTTGTGGTGTGGTGGGGTTTAAAGGGGCCATATTCTTCTAGTCCAGGAGCAAAGTCTGTATCCTTTCTTCCCTGACAGCTAAAACCTGGCAAAGAAGATAAGCTTTTCAGGAAAAAGGTACCATCTTCCCTTCCTCATGTACCTACAGCCCACTTTCAGCTGTCAGAGCTGTGGGCAACACTCGGGATGGCCCTTGTATATCCCATGATAGGGTTGGGATGTCTGGGATGGGCACTACCCCAAACTACACGGGTTAATTGAAGGCCACTCATCCTCACCTCTCTCTCTCTCCTGCAGCGGCGATCCTGGAAGAACGCTGAGGATCGGTTGGCACTGGCCAACAAACCCCTTCGGCGCTTCAAGCAGGAACCAGAAGACGATCTGCCTGAGGCACCTCCTAAGACTCGGGAAAGTGACCAGTCACGTTCCAGCTCACCCACTGCTGGGCCCAGCACTGAAGGGGCTGAAGGCCCAGAAGAGAAAAAAAAAGTGAAGATGCGCCGAAAACGGCGGCTTCCCAACAAGGAGCTGAGCAAAGAACTAAGCAAGGAGCTCAATCACGAGATCCAAAAGACAGAGAGTACCTTGGCCCACGAGAACCACCAGCCCATCAAGTCAGAGCCCGAGAGTGAAAATGAGGAGCCAAAGAGGCCCTTAAGCCACTGCGAGCGCCCACACCGCTTCAGCAAGGGCCTCAACGGCACCCCTCGGGAGCTTCGGCACCCACTGGGACCTGGCCTGCGCAGCCCACCTCGGGTTATCTCCCGGCCCCCACCCTCTTCGTCCCCACCTAAGTGCATCCAGATGGAGCGTCATGTGATCCGGCCGCCACCCATCAGCCCACCACCTGACTCACTGCCCCTTGATGATGGAGCAGCCCATGTCATGCACAGGGAGGTGTGGATGGCAGTCTTCAGCTACCTCAGCCACCAAGACCTGTGTGTCTGCATGCGGGTCTGCAGAACCTGGAACCGCTGGTAAGGGATAGTCCTGTATAGGTAGGGTTTAGGTTGTGGCTCAGGATAGTCCATGGCAACATATATTGCTTGAGTAGCTTACACAGATTAGTTTCCTGTTACAGAGGTCCAGTCTCAGGAGGGGAGCTATCTGTTTGCTTTCCTAATATGGAAAACTAAGGACTACATAGTTTCCCCTTGTCTAGTCTTAGCTGAAGTTGAGTGTAAGTAAGCAGTACTGACAAATTCCATCCTGACATTTTACAGATTTGTAGCGTTAGCTGCATTTCTGACCCAACCTCTTGAATAGGAGGATTCAGTGCCTCCCCACAGGGGGTTGTTAGGCATAGTAAGATGTAGTAAGGCGATATTTTATGGAGAGTACTTGCTGGCATCTTCCATGTAAGCATCAACAGAGGTGCCCAAATGTGGACAGGGTGGATGCTAAGTAGGTTGCAGAGTGCTGAATCTTTAAAGGAACTTCCTCCTTGAGATGGCAAGTGGGGAACAGTTACCATAGCCAAGCAGGGGTTCTCCAAGTGAGCTACTAACTATGATGATGTGTTCCCTGCCTGGCCGTCCTCTCAGGTGCTGCGATAAGCGGTTGTGGACCCGCATTGACCTGAACCACTGCAAGTCCATCACGCCCCTGATGCTGAGCGGCATCATCCGGCGACAGCCTATCTCCCTTGACCTCAGCTGGACCAATATCTCCAAGAAGCAGCTGAGTTGGCTCATCAACCGGTTGCCTGGTAAGGTTTTGGTTAAGGATCCCAAATGTGCAGTGACAATGACCTGGATTGTGTCACTTGACTCTGACCTTCTTCTTTCTCCTAGGGCTCCGAGACTTGGTGCTGTCAGGTTGCTCATGGATTGCTGTCTCAGCCCTCTGTAGTTCCAGTTGTCCATTGCTCCGGACCCTGGATGTTCAGTGGGTAGAAGGACTAAAGGATGCCCAGATGCGGGATCTCCTGTCCCCACCCACAGACAACAGGCCAGGTGAGTTGCCAGGCTGGAGATATACCCTAAGGGGTCTTTCTCATGGAGATGGCATGACCTAGATACCTTTTTGTTTTGAGCACATTACCTTCCCCTCATGTGGCTAATGTGTCATCAGCTTTGCTCTTTTCTGGAAGACATAGGGAGAGAGTTCTCAGCTTGCTTTGGGTATGAGGACTTTTGTTTTTTGGCTGACTATTTCTTTGTTAATCTTTCTTGGCTTTAACGTTCCCTTCTGAAGCATCAGGATTAGGGTGGTTGAGTAAGGTCTCAAAGCATAGTATGTTCCTAGGTCAGCTGCTTGGGTCACCCTCCCCAGGCAAAGCTTAATGGTACATGTATGAGGTGGTGTAACAACAGACAAGGACAGATGGCTAGAATGAAATGTAGTCTCACCAACCACAGCTTGAAGGCAGATTCTCCAACCATGTTTATTAAATCTGATTTTCAATGCTGAAATTCTGGCTTGAGGTAGGGTACAATTCACAATAGCAGATGGGCCTTTTATAGTTAACAGCAGCAGCAGAACTTGCTTTCCTTGTTGCGGTGATGGTTGCCTCTCCTGTCTGCCACAATAGGTCAGATGGACAATCGGAGTAAACTCCGGAACATTGTAGAACTGCGCCTAGCTGGCCTGGACATCACAGATGCCTCCCTGCGGCTCATTATCCGCCATATGCCCCTGCTCTCCAAGCTTCACCTCAGTTACTGTAATCACGTCACTGACCAGTCCATCAACCTGCTCACTGCAGTCGGAACTACCACCCGAGACTCTCTGACAGAGATCATCCTGTCAGGTAAGCAGGGCCCATACCCATGGGCACGGGATATCTATCAAGAATGACTGTCTAGACAGGTGGTGGTAGTGCACATCTTTAATGCCAGCACTCAGGAGACAGAGGCAGGTGGATCTCTCTGAGTTCAAGGTCAGCATGATCTACAGAGCTAATTCCAGGATACAGAGAAACCTTCTGTCTAGTCACAAGTGAATGAGACCACTAAGTCTAGAGATATAATTTCCTATCAAAAAACAGCTAACATCAGTGAGAGTATGTGGTTCTAAAGTCTAGGGTCATCCCTTGTGTGGTAAGAGACAAACTCATGTCTGCAGCCAGATTGTGGGCAACAGACATGGGCTGGAAGGCAGGAACCAGTGAATACAGGTTGGCTAATGGACTAGAAGAAACTCAATTTCTTCCTATGTTGCCGTGTCTTGTGCATGCCCCTTACGATCTTTCTATCAAGGAGCCTGTTAGAAATGAAATCCCTGGGGGCTGGAGAGATGTCTCAGTGGTTAAGAGCACTGCTTGTTCTTCTCATTACCATCTGTAATGAGATCTGGTGCCCTCCTCTGGCCTGCAGGCAACATGAAGACAGAACACTGTACACATAATAAATAAATTAAAAAAAAAAAAAAGAAATGAAATCCCTATAGATAGTTCCAGTGTTTATTTCTGTCAGGTACTACAGAATCCTCATTCTTCCCATTGTTACTTGGCTGAAGGATTTAGAGCTTGGTAAGGTGGACAACGGCAAGACCACTTGTCCTTAGTTAACAGTGTTTCCTGGTAGCTTAAGATAGTCTAGATTGGAATTGTTACATTTATGTGAGACAAAATACATAAATAAGGGGGAAAGTCACTCTTCTTCAAGAAATGGATAACCTCAACTCAACTAAAATTAAATTTTGACACAACTGCATTATGTTTTCTAAGAATGGAGATATAATAGAGGGAGACAGTGTTGGTTTACAGAGAAATACGGCACTAAGGAAATGTTTGGAGATATTTATGCCCATATCCATGTCACACAGTAGGTAGGATGGTTGGTGTAGACAGTTTGGGATCATTCTATGCCTAGGGTCCTTAGAAGTTATTCCTCCTCACTGTGAAGGTTTGGTAGCAATAATTGTGCCACTAACAGAGGCAAAGAGCTGTGCAGAAGTGAGATTTCACCGCTGTATTCCAGCTCAAGGCTTACTCGTTGAGACTTGAAGGGTGATAGAGCTGCTAGCATCTGGTTCCAAGCATTTAATTATGGTAAATGCTATTTCTAGTTGTTACAGATGTGCAGTGGAGTTCAGGAAATATGTGGGAGTGTGTATAGATCCTCTACATTTTAATTTTCCATTACAACAATGAGATCATCTTTTCATCTCAGTACACATATACCTCCATTCTTTTTGTTTGTTTTAAGAGAAGTTTCAGTCCTCTGCTACACTGGAAGTTCACAGCATCTTGGGGCACACGAGAACCTATCTCAAAAAAAGAGAGATTAGGTTTAGAGATGAGACTTGTTTTGTATTTAACTGAATTCGTGTTCATGTGACTGGAGTATCTGGTACCCAGTTGTTGCTAGTAAGGCTGCATTTCATCCTAGACACATGTAACAGGTGCTCAAACAAATCTGGCCTTTCTCTGATCCTTACCCTTTGGGCAACTCCAAGACCCAATCTCTTGTCCAGTTTTTACATCCATGTATTACTACAGACATACTTGTTTACAACATAAGGATACTGTGACTCTACTTTTTAAAGTTGCTAATATTGACCTTATGATCTTGTACATTTTTGCTCACTAATTAAGCCAAATAATGTATTGTGAATACACTTCCTTTTCCGCACGACTTTTTTTAAAGATTTTATTTATTTATTATGTATACAACATTCTGCTTCCATGTATATCTGCACACCAGAAGAGGGCACCAGATCTCATAAGGGATGGTTGTGAGCCACCATGTGGTTGCTGGGAATTGAACTCAGGACCTCTGGAAGAGCAGTCAGTGCTCTTAACCTCTGAGCCATCTCTCCAGCCCCAGGGCAGGCTTTTCTATTTGCAAAACTACTGGCATTTCACATCTTTGTTAGTGGTTTAGTATTTAGGTTTTCTAATCCATGAACCTGGATTCCCACTTGTATCTCTCTTATTTTGGTAGTTTTTGTTTGTTTGTTTTTGTTTTTCCCCTTTCGTTTTCAGTGGACAAGTCTCATTTCTTTGAATTTACTCTTTGGGTGCTATTATGCTTGTAATTGTTCATTAGGTTTTGTGAATTTGTTTTTTGGTTTTCAAGACAGGGTTTCTCTGTGTAGACCTGGCTGGCCTTGACCTCACAGAGATCTGCCTGCCTCTGCCTGGCATGCTCTGCCACCACCACCTGCTAAGGATTGATTTTCTAACTTTCCTAAAATGTTTTAATTAGTAGAGAGTTTTTGTTTTGTTTTGATAAGTTGGACTCTTTAAATACTCTTTCTGTTTAAATCAACATTAAAGTTGATATTTAAAACTGCACCTTTTGGCAGGGGTGGGGGTTTCAGACATGGTTTCTCTGACTTTGGAGGCAGTCTGTAGACGAGGCTGGTCTCAAACTCACAGAGATCCACCTGCCTCTGCCTCCCAAGTACTGGGACTCAAGGCTCGAACCACCATTGCCTGGCCAAACTGCACCATTTTTTTCTGTAACCTTTTCATTACTTTTTACTGTTATTAATTTGCCATGTTTAGGGTTTCTCTTCCAAATTTGTATTTTGAATTCTTTTAGATTTATGTGTGTTATGTACATCATGTGTATGCTTGGTGCCTGAAGAAGTCCAAAAAGTTGGCTGTGAGTTCTGGGAACCCAGTCCTCTTAACCACTGAGCCATCTCTGCAGCCCCCATTCTTATACTGTAAACTTTTTCAAACACATAGAAGAATAGCAGACAGTGGATACTTGTTTGTATCAGTCCTGTGTAACAATTAGAGATCTCATGGATGTTTCCTAAGCATGAGGATCCTATTTACATGACTACAATAGTGCTATCACATGTAAATTAAGAACTGAATAAAACCAGAGTACTTTTTTGCTCTCCATTGAGACCAAAGACAAGAAAACTGACAAAAAAGATGCTTCTAAATATAATCACTCCCTCTTTCCAAGAGCCCTGTATTATCTAATTAGCCCCTCAGATGTTGCCCAAAGATGCAATTTTTTTTATATGTATAAATAGGACAGGAGAAAAAAACCAACACACAGTTTTGTATCTTTTTCATTTTTCCTTGTGACACGAGGCCCCATGTTGACCAGCCCCTGTCCTGTTATCAGTAATCCTTGATAAGGGACCAGGAATGCAGCTCAGTGATAAAGCACTTGCTTATCACATGAGAAGGTCCTGCCTGATTCTATCCCAGGACCATAAATACAGACAGAACCCCACAGTTACCTTTAGAAGGCATGAGAAACTTGTAACATTAGCTTCTAGAAAATTCTATTCCTTAGGTTCCATTTACTTAGAAAATGTTTTCCATTCCAAGTTTTTGTTTTCTGTGAATTCCCAAGTTAAGATCATAAATTGATGAAGTCAAACATTTTTTAATAAGATTTCCCTGTAATAACTGTACTTTGAAAAAAGTTGTGATGCTCTTTAGGTGAGTTCACTGGCATGAAAAGCTGGTTACAGAGTGCACTGGGCAGAATTGCTCCCCATGAATCCCTACCTACATCCTTGGAGCCTTTTTAGGATGTACATAGACCCTTCTAACAACCATCTCCTTTTGACAGAGCTGTTATGCTCAGTTCAATCTCTGGAGTGTATCTTACTCCCCTCAAGCTCCTCCTCTGCTCTCTTCCTACCTCTCGTCTGTCTCACTTCCATTACCAACTCTTAGGAGAAAAATCCCCTGAAAGTCACTCACTTTGAGACAGAGGATCCCGACAGCTCCTATCTGTCTCCTTTGCATTTCACAAGTGGCCCTCACCTGGATGACTCTGCTGTAGACTTGAGATCATCAGAGGTACACGTGCTTATCTTGGCACCAGTGTAACCAGCACCTCCAGATCGCTCCTTTTCCCTGTTGACTTTTGCGCAGGCAGCATTGGCCTTTTTGATGAATCACTTTCAGCAACAAAAAATCTTGTACCTAGAGCTTAAAGACCCCTCTGTCTAGGAAGGGAGGGACCTTTCCATGCAAGTCTCTTGGTCTTTCTTGAGCATTAAATTTCTTTACAGCCTGGAATCTCACACCTTCCACAGACAGGTACTGACCTGACAGACTATAGTCAACCTTTGATTGAAGATAATGAGGATAAATTAATATCATAAAAAAGGTCCTGTTCAATATGGGGCTTCACATGACATAGAAAAAAATGCAACAGCATGGAAAATGTTTTTTATAACAGCAAAATCTCTATCCTCTATAAAGTAAATCAAACTTTGAGCTTTAAGGGACTTTTAGACTTTAGATGGTAGTGAACCACCATGCGGTTGCTGGGAATTGAACTCAGGACCTTTGGAAGAACAGGCAGTGCTCTTAACCTCTGAGCCATCTCTCCAGTCCCCAGGAATGACTTTAAAGTAATTGTGTATGTGCATCATCATTTGCTTCTTTGACTTTTGCAGTAAGATTTATAAAGCAGATTAGCAGAGCTAGGTACGGAAGTACACGTATCTTTTATACCAGCACTTGAGAGGTAGAGGCAGACAGATACCGTGATTTTTGAGGACAGCGTGATCTACAAAGCCAGTTCCAGACCAGTCAGGGCTATGTAGAGAGGCTGTGTCTCAAAAACAGCATCAGCAATATATTGAAGAGATTGGTGTTTCAGAAGCATCTTTTTATTAGGGTCCTTATATTTTTGCTCCCTTCAGTCTAACGGTCCCATCCTCATATGTGGTTCAGCATACGACTCGGCTTCCGGTGACTGCCGATTTCACTTGGATTCATATTCCTGCTATGCCTGTGAGATTGGGTTGTCCTCACATAGTTTGGTGCGCATCTATGTTCAGGGCTTTGTGTGTTGGCATGAGACTCCTATTTGCTGGACTGACGATGTACAGGTGGTCAGTGCCTACACTGATCACTGTCACTTTTGATAGTTGACCTTGATTTTTATTCAAAAGTGGTAACAGTAATGGCCAGGAAATTAATAACCCTGACAGAAAGAAATCATTTTCTCATCCATTCGATCCACCTGGAAGTCATTTATCTTGCTTAGTCTAAAACAAAGTAGGGTCAACAAAAAATACATAATTGCTGCCTGCAGGATATGTTGAACTGTCTTTTTTTGTGGACAAAGCCTTTCCTCCATCCCTTCTAGCACATTTGTTTTCCTGGCACAGGCTTCATAGAGATATTCCATTTTGGGGGAGGGTGCAAAAAAGCAGCCACCTGTGGGCTGTGTGTCACCAATTTACTGGGGTGTGACATAGAGTGCTAAGACCTGAGGGACTTCACTGATCCCGCCATATAAAGCAGGATATTTATCTGACAGTGTAGTCAGACAAGGGGACAATACTTAGGAATACTTCCTATCAGACAAGCCTCTAGACACATTTTATAAGATAAACTGATTTTGTATGTAACCATATAAAGGAAGATGTACAAGTGGTTTCTACTTGATAGTCTGGCTTTGGGGGAATGGAAGGGGCAGTGTTGCAAATAGAACTTTGTCTTCCCATGCCTGGCAGAACACTCCAAACACCTGTCATGCATATGTTATTAAGCTTTGCAAATGGTAAGTGACATCATTTGGGGGACATCAGAGACTTGACTATGATGTGTGTTCTGTCTCTACAACTTGAACCCTGAATTTATAGGGCCTTGGGCTGTATGTGTTCTGTCCCCTCATACGGTTTCTTCTTCCCTGCAGACTGCAATAAGGTCACTGACCAGTGCCTGTCCTTCTTCAAACGCTGTGGAAATATCTGTCATATTGACTTGAGGTACTGCAAGCAAGTCACCAAGGAAGGCTGTGAGCAGTTCATAGCCGAAATGTCTGTGAGTGTTCAATTTGGGCAAGTGGAAGAGAAACTCCTGCAAAAACTAAGTTAGTTCTAGAACAAGTATGTAAATATGGCGGGTTGGGGGAACACAGCGGGGGAGGGAAAAAGACTGCAAAAACAAGTGGGCTTATTCCCTTTGGAATTTGGAACAAGAGACCACAGGACACAGTTCTGTTTCGCAAGTCTTGCCAAGGGAGAAGCCGTTCAACTACCCAATTGGTGATGAGTGAGCCAGATGTTTTCCTCTGCTCTTTCTGCATCATAACTGCACTGCTTTCTGGACCATTTCTAAGGCGGCATTTAGAAGACATTCCAATTGGAAAGGATGATGAGCTTTGGAAAATCCTCTTAGAAGCCTAAGCTTAGTGTTTTTGTTGGCAGTTTTGTTTGAGACACCTTGTTCCTTGCAATGCCAAGGCTTCTGGTGTCAACATAGAGTGGACCACACACACCATCTGCAGCCGTCTTGACACATTTTGTTTAGTTGGTTTTGTTACATCTTACATTATGCAGAACTATTTTTGTATAAATTGTTTAAAAGTTATTTATGCAAGATTTGAATGCATACCAGTGTTTTTATTATTTACATTGCCAACTTTCCTTCAGGTAGGGAGAACTTAACCTGTACTTCATCAACATAAAGAGCCCATCTACAGATGTGCCCAGGTGTGACAGGGGCTATGACCTTCCACTTAAAAGCATGTTTAACTGGATGTTGAGAGCCTACTTTGTATGTCAAGTTACACAAGCATGTGTGGTTAAGTGTATAGTCCAGGTAAAACACTATGCCAAGTTTCAATAGAGAGTTCACCTTTTCCTCAAAATCTTATAATTCAGATTTCAGCCGTTACACTCAGGAGGGTTTTGCTCCAAGCATGAGCTCTTGTATTCTATCTACATAGATCTAATTTATACCATGAATCAAGTAGAATAAATGTGCCCATTGCCTTCCTTTCCTTTGAAGTGTTCAGTTCTCACTGAAGTTGGTAACCAGGCTATTTTCTAGTTGTCGTGTTCTGCATCCATAAGTGCCATTGTTGTATGGTGGTGTTTCCTAGACTTTACCTTTGTTGGATTTGTATAAACAATTGTACAAAAAAAAAAAATCCAGTCTTTGTGTTTGAGGGTTTCTGTTTTTATGAGAGGGCTAATTGGAAAGGCCAGGGTAAATGGACTCTTCACTAAAGTATGCACTAAGGGCCCAGAACTATGTAATTTCTCTGTCATCTGAGAAATGCAGCAGCCTCGAGACACAATGGTTTATTTTTTTTTTTTTCTCTCTCTCTTCCTACAGAAAAAGATTACAATAAAGGTAATGGGAAAAAACTCTGCTACAATGATGGCCACTTGTGGCTATTAGGAGTAATGACTCAGCTGTCTGAAAGTCTCCTGTACAAAAGTAATTTCCGAGCATGACCACTGTTGTCTTACTCTTCTGACCAAGACAACTTACAAGAGAAAGTTGTTATGGTCGGAGGGTTAACATTTGATGGTGGAGTGTGGACATGGAGGGAGAAACAGGGCTAGAGCAGCAGCTTAGAGCTCCTATCATCTTGATCAGTCCACATATGGGAGGCAGAGAGAGGCACACTGGGAATTAGTGAAACTTTTGTCTATAGACCTCTGTGAATCATCTCCAATAACAGCACACCTCCTAATCCTTCCCAAACAGTCACATCAACTAGGGACCAGGGTCAGCACAGCTACTTAACATTACTGTTTCCTGGATGTAGAGGGCAAACAGGTGCCATTTCTTCCCCAACCTTTCTAAAGAAGACATTTCAAGGAGGTTGCATTCTGTGCTGTGACCTTGAGCCTGGGGGCTAGAAGACATTAGAATCTGGGGTCACAGAACAGTTTTAGACTTGATGTTCATGTATAGACATAACTCTAGCCGGGCAGTGGTGACTCACGCCTTTAATCCCCACACTCGGAAGGCAGAGGCAGGCAGATCTCTGTGAGTTCTGTGATCTAGAAGAGTTCAAGTACTGTTAGACACTAAGTCATCTTCTCAGACCAAAATACAATATATTTAATATAAAAGTAATTCATTGAGATAAAAGACTAGCTCTAGGCTGGGCAGTGATTGCACATGCCTTTAGTCCCATTACTCAGGAGGCAGGTGGATCTCTTGAGTTTGAGACCAGCCTGGTCTACAAGAGCTAGTTCTAGGACAGTCACCAAAGCCACAATGAAACCCTGTCTTAACCCACAGCGTCCCCCAGATGAAAGGAAAGAACTCTAAAGATGAGCAAAATAAATACCTTGGCCTTGCAAGACAAGTCCTACCTGCTAACACTTGGATTTTTAAAGAGCTCATCTAAAGCACATGCCTTTTATTTAAATCAAAAAACCTTGCTTGCAGTTTGACTTTACTGGCCTGAAAGTTCATTATATAGATATAAAGGCTTTCTGTGGTAGTTTTAGTTCTCAGTTTTAGTTCTCAACCTCCAAATAAAATAGCTGCACCCATCTTTGCCACGTGGTGTCAGTACATGCCTTTGATCCCAGGACTCAGAAGGCAGAGGCAGGCCAATCATCTGAGTTTCAGGACAACCAGGGGAAACACAGAGACTCACATGAAAATTGTGAAAATTGATTCTCTCCTTCCACCATGTGGAATATTAGGCTTGAACTCTGATCATGAAGATCATGGCAAGTGCCTTTATCTACTGAGCCATCTCAACAGCCCTCTCTATAGTTTTAAACTAACTTCAGATGAAGCCAGTGTATATCACATGCTACAAACAGGTGCTCCAAGGTCCATACACACAGCTGGTAAAGTAGTGGAAAGACCATAACTTGGAAGTATACCTGCTATGGTCATTCTGAACTTGTAGACTGGAAAGTAAGTCCATTAAGGGAACCTGGTATTTACAGAAGAAGATTCCATGGTGCCTCAAATTACATTCTTTCCTACTGTGAAGACAAGAATGAGGAAATTTCATTCTATTCTGCTGTGGATCTTTAGAACTTTATCCATACGCAGCTTCCAGAAGAAATGTTTTCCCTCTGCCATAAAAAGTAAGCAGTCATCCCTGGTATTCACCATGGACTGCCTCCAATATACACAAAGTTGTATATTTCACATCATATTAAGATGACTGACAGTTGTTCTTAACCAAATGCAAACCCTGACTCAAGTTGGCCCTATAAGAACCCTTCTACATAAGCCACTGATCTCAAGTTCTTATTTGCTACATGCACTCAACACGATGAAAAACCTTGCGAGTGCCAGGATAGACTCCAAAGCTACACAGAGAAACCCTGTTTTGTTTTTTTTCCCTCTGAGACAAAAAAAAACCCTTAGCATTAAAATTAAATTTGAAATCTGTTGTCTGTCCCCTCCTCCATCCCAGTGTTATGATGTTATGGGGCTTAGTAATAATAGTATGATCTCTAGCCTAGCTGAGATTTCAGACAAAGCTATTAACTTGCTCAGAGACTAACTTCTCCAGCCAAGGCTGATGGAAGGGATTGAGAAAACCTTAAAGTACCTAACAATACCTTGTCACAGTAAACACGGCTATAAGTGAGCAGCAAAGATGGTCTCTGAAGGCGTCATCTCTCTTCTGAAGAGAGGTGCTACACCAGGAAGTTGATGCCTGTTCAAGCTAAATGCAAATAAGCTCAAAATTTAAGGAGACAATATAAACTACAGCAGCCTTTTAATCTAATTTTATTCCTAAAGTTGAAATTACTAGCAGGTAGCACTAAATCACTATACAAAAGTGTAAATTGATTACATGTTAGTAAGGAATTTAGCACACACACACACTTCTAAGATAAAGCTAGATGCAGCCCTTGCTACTAAAAGCTGTACCTGAACAAAAATGGACATATTTATCTGAGGCTCTGGCAGTTGAATGTCAGTTGTCTCCCAATTATGCTTAAATGCAGAGATAGCAACAATGTGGAAACTTACATTCATTAAATATTAGCATTTAAAATAATATGACTAATAAAGTGAACATTCAGAGTAGCCACTGCTCAGTATAGTCCACACTAGCCCACTAGTGAATCGTGAGTTCACATCAAAGAAAGTAAGTTCAAACACAAGATAAAGGGAAAATATAGAGACAGGGCGTGGTCTCCATAGAGCAAGAGCAAATATCCACACTGAACAGTCTGACTTCAGCAACTAGTGCTCTGGGAGATAAGTGATAAAACCCAGCACAAGCTGGGAAAGCCATGTGTTCACAGACAGACAGGCCTATGGCACAGCCCAGGTTTCTTCAATTTAGGATGAACTTTCTGTCCCAGTCAGTAATGAAAATAATTTTTAAAAATAGCTTCTGCCTCGGAACAGTAAGTTTTCAGTCCCTTTTATGCACTCAGGTAGGTTTGGGATAGTCACGGGAGTGTCCCACTCAGGGGGCCTCAATTTTCATGACTTGAAAACATGCACAGCTCGCACCACATACTGCCGACAGATGGGGCACTCACTCATGCGCTTGCCACATTTGGTGCAGGTGACCATGTGCCCACACTCCAGCAGGACACAGTCAATGACTGCATCCATGCAGATTCGGCACAGGCTGTCGTCTTCCTCATCCTGAAGCTGCATCCGCTCACCATCTGAAAGGAAACAGAGCTGGGGCTCTGGATATGGCCACTGGCCTTGCTCCCTGCCCATGGCCAAGCAACCATGTTCTGAGCAACCACCACAGGCCCATTACCATCCCAGTGCTATAACAGAAAGTAGTCCCTTAACCTCTCCACTTCTTGCACTAGATGTGATGTGTATCTCAGGGTTCTGGAAGAAATATGAGGCAGAAGACCAGCTAAAAATGTTCCATAAATGTTGGCTATAATAGATAGGGTTTGTGATAAGGATATACTCATTCTGCATTTAAGAAAAAGAAATGGGCTGGGGATAGCTCAACTGGTAGAGTACCCACCTAGCTTGTGTCAAGTCTTGGGTTTGACTCCCAGCACTGTATACACCAGGCACGACAGTACATGCCCGTAATCCTAGCACTTTGGAATGTAGGATGAAAAGTTCAAGGCCATCTTCAACTACAGAGTGAATCTGAGCTACAGGAGTCC